GCCTTGGGAGAACAGGATGATAGTGCTTGTACTGAGTGACATTCTTCAGAATACAGAAGATCATAAATTCCTGGTTGTCCAAGAGCAGGACACATGATGAAGTATTCTTGCTATCTTAGGCAGTGTTCTTGTTTTCACTGCACATCTACAAGTAGCTTTGTAAGGAGGTTGTTGTGGCTGAACAGGGAGCTTGGTGGACCTCCAATATGGAAAGGTAATATAGAGGAGATGGAAGCAGGGACTGGCTACAATGGAATAATTTAGAAGTATTATCTGAGTTTGTAGGAGTATCCTTGGGAGATACAAAGCCTAAATGCAGTTGAAACTTGCATGGGAAGCCCAACAAGAAGAGCTTCCAAAGCTTTGTTAGTATAAAAAGGCTGAGGAAGGAATATGTAGAATCATTGCTAAATGAAGGAGAGGTGATGTAGTGACAGCAGACACTGATAAAATTGGAGGCATTTGCTATCTCTACCTCCTCTACCTCCAAACTATCCCATGCATCTGTGCTTAGGGAAAGGGTGCAAAGAGAACTAACTACCAGCAGTAGATGAGTGTTTAGCTGGGAATTACTTCAGAGTCTGACCAGAAAACACCATGGAAGCAGGCAGACAGACCACATTCAAGGTGGCACATTTTTTTGGCACATTTCAAGGTGCCAAAAAAAAAAGATTGGATGTCTCTGCAGGGCCACTCTATCACATCAGAAGGGTTATGGAGATAATGGAAGGTTCCTATTAACTAGAAATAGGTAAATGTTGCACCATTTTTTCAGGAAGGCCAAAGACAATCTGAGGAACTATAAACTGGTCAGCATTGCTTTGGTCCCTGTGGAACTTAAGGGAACGGGTCCCTTTGAGCATGTTTCTGGGCATATGAAGGAGGAGGTGATCAGAAACAATCAGCATGGAACTACCAAATGTAAATCATGTCTGACTGCCTGATTTTGTTTATGATTCTATGACTGGATTTGTGGGTGAGGGGAGAGAAGTGGCTATCATTTACTTCAAGTTTATCAAGTTTTTTGACATTGTCTCCAACAACATCCTTGTATCCCAGTTGGGATGGATGTTATGGTCTGTATGGATAAAAATTGATTGATTTGGCTTAGAGGGGAGAGGTTAAATGAGTTTTCTCTACCCAGACAACATTTTCCTGTTTACCTAGTAGAGTGCCAGGAGATCTAGAGACTGGAACAGTCCTGTTTAACATCTTTACCAGGTACTTCAAGGAGGTGATAAAATCCACTTTCCTGAGGTTTGTAGATGATACCAAATTGGAGGCAACAGTGAATATGCTGTGGACAGTGCTACCATACAGAAGAACCTAGGCAGGCTGGAGGAATGGGCCAAGAGGAAACTTATGAAATTCAGCAAGAATAAATACAAAGTTCCTGTCACGTGGGAATGCTGAGCCTTTGCATCAATATATGCTGGGGGTGACTGGCTTTACTGCCAAGGCTCTGGAGAGTCCTGGCAGACAGCACATGGCCTGTGCATCAGGAGTGTGCCCTTGCAGCAAAGAAGGTAATGGCATCCTGACTGTGCTGGAGAGAGCACAGCCAGGAGCTTGTGGGAAGGGATTATGCTCCTGCTCAGTACCTGTCAGACCACAGCTAGGCACTGTGTCCTTTTGAGCCCCTCCAGGAAAGGCAATGAGAAATTTAAGCCAAGTTTAGCTGAGACTCCCCAGAATGACTGGAGCCACGTGAGGAGGAGTCAAAGGAACTGGATTTATTCAGCCCGGAGAAGAGGTGGCTTCACGTGAACCTGATAGCAGCCTGCCAGCACCTATGAGGGTGTCTTCAAGAAGACAAAGCCAGGCTCTTCACAATGGGAAGTTAAGTGGTAAGTAAGAAACAGCAAGCATAAATTGAAACAATAATATTTGGCCTGGTAATAATGGAAAGAAAAACATGTGAAAAAGTTATACTGGGATTAGGTAAAATGGTTTAGGTGTCACACATTAACAGACCATAAATCGTGCATAGTATGACACCTTTTCCTATGTTCCTGGCTCCATCCACCTAATGTATAAACCCAAGATAATTTATCCACCACAGTGAATTTACATTGGCTAGCAGTGGAAACCTTTGATGTAGCCCAAATTCTTAATTATAGCAAGCATATTTTTTCTTCAAAACATGGCTATAATATTTCAGTTAGTGAAGGCACAAGCCTGTGTCCACAAGGCATGGGGCAGGCACCTACCTGCCAGGTTTCCTCTGTGATATAAGCTTTTTTATTTGCTCTGGCCTGTGAGTTGAGCTTCTTGGCAAAATTTATTAACTGGGGTTAGTGCTGCAGGAATGGGCTGCACAAGTACCTGCTCACACTTATGCCTGGCTGCCTTGAACATTGGACATCTACTGTGCTCCTCTGCTGTCCCTCTTCTCTATTTAGCAAAGGAGCTGCCGTCCCAAGTTTGCTTGTTCCAGCTGATGTAGCTCTGCCCAGTGTTCCAATAATACATAGAGGGTAAAAGGGTTGGTTTTGTTCATTTTTTTTCTATTTAAGAAAGGATGAGCTGGTGTGGTAGTAGAGGATGAAGATGGAAGAAGTGGGCAGTCCCAGCCTTTCTGTTGTAGAAATCCAGCACAAGTTCCTCACTCACTTCCTCACTCAGCCACGAAGCCAGAGGCTGCAATAGTCATTCCTTCCTGTACATGGAGCTTGGTCCAGGATTACTCATAACTCATAGTCACCTAAAAAAACCCTGAAGTTTCAATTAGACATGTATTTCCTGATTTTGAATGTCTTGGAGAGCAGCTGGTCTAATCTAAGACAGAGCCCAATCCTGCAAAGAAGTATTGCTCCACTTTCACCTTCTCCCAGCTCTGAGTTTCCTCTTCAAGAGCAGGAAAATGTCCTACCCATGATGGATGTAGAATTAAGGACACCTCTAAGTTTTCTCAGCCAGTGGTCTCAGTATGGCCAGAGGGTTTCAGAATATAGACCTTACTAGAATATAGTAAGCATGTTTTGGTGGCAGAAATAAAGATGAAGTGCTGAGAAGTGATTGTGCCTACCCACAAGGATATTACTATGCCACTTCTGCATGACTGGTAGGAACTGACCTGCTATGGATGAGGCCAGCAGCCTTGGGCTTGAACTTCTCAAAGGCATTATTTTTCCTCAAGAAGCTTTTTCTTTAATTAGTTATTAATTCTTTATCATTACCCATTAATGCTTCTAAAATCAAAATTTTTAGCTTAATGAGTTTATTACAATAGATCCTAAAAAATGTAATTCTGCCTAGTGTTGAGGAATATTAGTTCCCAGAGAGGGAACAACTCAGGCTGTTACATCATGCAAAGTGAACCTGTTTTCCCAAATACTCTCATAGCATAGAAGAGGAGCAATGAAAAGAAATGTGGACCCACCCCTTCATTCACAGGTCTGAATAGTTTCCTGGAGGGTGTGTAGCAAGACAGATGATTTACTGCTGGTAGCAACAGTAGGTTTTCTGGAGGAACAAGTGTCAGAGAAACCAGATTACAAGAGCAGTTCTGAGTCACAGAGTCCCCTGGGATGCTTCTGTGTTGGTCAATGATCAGAGGTGAACTTGGAGTCAAACAACAAGGCAAATGGTTTGGAGAATTTTCCTGTTTAGGGTAAGGTTGAGGACATATGATTGTTTGGTTGCCTTTTCAGTGCTGTACTCAGCAGTGGAAGGGAGACATGGAGCTGACCCTCCACATTACTAGATGATGGCATGTCCAGCTCTTTGTATACCCAGAGGAGGATTATGTGCACCTGGTGCTCAGTGACCTGCAGGGAATGTTGTTGCATGGTGTCAAGCATCTAGCATTCTCCTTAGCTTCCAGATAGCCTTCCTTAATTTTTAGTGTTAAGTGGGAAAGAAAACCTACAGACTTGCCTTGCAATGACCCTAAGGTTTCTCTTGGGATCTCCTGCTGTGAGGAAAGGCAAACCATGACTAAGCACTTTATGTGTCTGAAAAGCTCTGTCAGTATTCTCAAAGATATGAAAATGTGATTCTTTGTGGGCATTCTGACATGGAGATCTAAGTAGCCAGGCAGTGACAGCAGAGCCTTCATGTTCTGTGCTCGTTATTTTTGGTGAGTCCCTCTGAACTGCATTACCAAGTTGTTCAACCACACCTGAATCTGGGTTCCTGGGGGATAAAACCTGTTCTATAGCTCCTTCCTGTGTTACAAAGGCATGGGTGATTTTAGCATTAGACATCAAACGTCACTGGCTTCTGAGTTATGGAGTTAATATGTTCCTAGAATCACTTGTTAAACCAGAAATGCACATGGTATAGCTTATATTGCATGTGCCTGTTTACAGCCTACAGGAATGGTGTTGCTTCCTTTCCACTGTTCTCTTTGTGCTAGACTTCTGTATGTTTATCACAGACCTTAGGGACTTCAGACACTAGAACTGCTCCATCTGTTTTTAGGTTGCCTCCAAGCTGTGCAGGCTTGCGTGCTTATTTACTATTAATTCATCACAATTCAGGCAAGCCTGATGGATGATAGAGTTGAAAACAGAGATAAGTGAGAACTCTTCTGCATAGAATCATAGAATGGTTTGGGTTGGAAGGAACCTTAAAGATCATCTAGTTCAAAACCCCACACTGTAAGCAGGGCCTCTTTTCACTAGATCAGATTTCTCAGTGCTCCATCCAGCCTGGCCTTAAACATTTCCAGGGATGCGGCATCCACAACTTCTCTGGGCTCATCACCCTCACAGCAGAGAACTTCTTTCTCATATCTAATCTAAATCTGCTCTCCTTCAGTTTGAACTCATTCCCCCTCATTCTGTCACTACATGTCCTTGTTCAAAGTCTATCTCCATTTTCCTTGTGGGCTCCTTTCAGGTACTGGAAGGCTGCAATTAGGTCACCCCAAAGCCCTCTTTTTTCCAGGCTGAACACAACCAAATCTCTCAGCTTTTCCTCATAGGGGAGGTGCTCCATCCTGCTAATCATCTTGGTGGCCTCCTCTGGACTTGCTCCAACAGGTCCCTGGCCTTTCTGTGCTGGGGACCCCAGAGCTGACACAGCACTGCAGGTGGGCCCTCAGCAGAGTGAAGTAGAGGGGCAGAATCACAGGGCTTTGGATAAAGCCCAGTACATGTTTGACTTTCTGGCCTGTGAGTGCACATTGCCAGCTCATGTCCAGCCTCCCATCCACCAGCACCCTCAATTCCTTCTCAGTAGGGCTGCTCTCCATCTGTTCATCCCTCACCTGGACTGATACCAGGGGTTGCCCCAACTCAAGTGCAGCACCTGGCACTTAGTCATGTTAAACCTCGTAAGGTTCCCATGGGCCACTTCTCAAACCTGGTCCCTCTGGGTGGCATCCAGATCCCTGTGAATTGCATCCCATCCTTCAGGTGTGTCAACTGCACCACCCAGCTTGGTGCTATCTGCAAATGTGCTGAGGGTGCACTTCATCTTTTTGTCTGTGTCATTAATGAAGATATTAAATAGTGCTGATCCTACTGCAGATCCTGAGGGACATCCCTTGTCACTGACGTCCATTGATACTCTGAGCAGTTGACCAACACCCTCTGGATGTGACCATCTAACCAATTCTTTATCCATCTAACATTGAATCCACCTCTCCAGTTTAAAGGGAATGTTACTGTAAGGAACTGTGTCAAAGGCTTTACAGAAGACCAGATAAATGCCTATCAGGCAATATAGTTGCACAGACAAATTAAGGAGAGTATAACAACTTCTAAGTTTGAGGTTGGTCCTATTTTGCATGCAAGATTTAACCAAATGACTTCCAGCGATACCTCCCACCTCAAATTATGATTTTAACAAAGAAGGATTTTTTCAAGAAATACTTAAAATCTTCTGTGTTCTCCAATCTGTGAAGTCATTAGGGAAATTGCTGGGACTCCCTGTGCAAGTCACAGATTAATGAAGGTCATGCTCTTTCTATCTGTGGACTGTGCAAATCACATCAGTACTTCATATACCAATGATCTTACTATTTCTGGAACTGGTGAAATTCTATTCACTTCTGCATACTCTAAATTTACCCCTAAATTACACACAGAAATGCCAATCCTAAAATGCATGTAGAAATGAAATAAAAATTCGCAACCATCTGGATGCCCCTGTAGACCTGTGCTGACTTTACAGTCACTGGTGACAAAACAGTAGTTACTCTTGCTTAGCCCAGTGATGTGAAGGCTGGATTCAGCCCTGTCCCTGGTTTCCTATCCCTGATTTGCTCTCCCTACTGTGAATGAATGAGGATGTGTTATTTTATGTACAGCCAGTGCCAGGCACATTCCCTGTCACTTTTATTTCCTCTTCTTGAAGAATTCACAGACAAAGTAGATGGTGACTTGACACTCAGAGTCGTTCCACTCTCCTGTGCTGAGCATTTCCACACAGTCCTCATGACCAGCTGGGTCATGAGGCTCCCCTTGCTTCCAGTTACTGTAGTTCTGCAGTGGGCTGTTGTCTGAATACACAAACTGTCCTTCTCTTTCCATGTCATTCAGCCCAATGAAGGCTCGGAAGAGGCCGCTGTTGGAGATGTAGTCAGCAATCAGGGCATTGGTTGCTTCATCTTTAGGCATGGCCAGTGATCCTCCTCTGTCCCTGCAGTGGATCAAGGCTTCTCTGTAATTCTTCTCTTCTTTCACAATGTAATAGAATTTCTCATCTGTCTCCCTGATACCTGCTATAACTTTGAAGAAGAAAAATTGTCAACAGATGCTTAAGGTTATTCTATTACAATATGACAACGAGATGATTTTTACATTAGAATTAATAAAAGGGAAGTATGAATAGTATTCCCACCACTGTATTTATGAAGAATGATGAGGACATGATCAGAGATTGATGTGACTAATGGGTTTGTCAAGCATTTAGCACACGTTAGGACAAGAACTATTCAGTCCTGATTGGTGTGTCTCCTGTGACACTTTATTTTTATTTCCTGGATATCTAGTACTAATCTGTTGGGGAGGATGAAACAGGGAAACCTTGTGAATATGATTGTTTAACGAAAGATTCTGAAGGTATGAGGCCTAGAATTGAGATAGAAATGAAAGCCTGCTTTGAGTTATAGGATACTGAGTACTGGTTACTATATAACCAAAGAACAATAGCCTAGCCAGCTAGAGGAGAATCCCTGTTGATAAAACAATGTCCGTCTGCTGATAGAAAGTCCAAAGGTCAAGAAGCAAGAAAAGAACTTGTAAAGCTTTGTAGAATCTAAAATGCAACACTGTATGTTAATATAGGGAAACGCATAGGCTGTATGTAAATTCTTTAGTGGGTGTGTCTCATGGTGATTGGTTACTAAGAATTAGAATAATCACGATAGAAAAAGATATATTGGATTGTAACAAGAACTTAGCTCTCTTAACTCTTACCTCTTAGCTCTTCTCTCTTACCCCTCTCTCAGCTCCCCTCTCCCCCGCTCTTACCTCTGAACCCCTCTCCCTTACCTCTCTTACCCCTTTACCCCTCTCCCCCACGCTTAACTCTCAGCCCCCTCTCCCTGCTCCTATCCCTCTCGTCTTCCCTGCTCTCTCCCTCTGGTTTTTCCCTCTTTCCCTCTGTTGCTCTCTTACTCCCTCCCTCCCCTTTTCCAACCTCGCTTCTCCTGCTCTGCGGGCTCTCACTCCTCCCCCTGACCACGTGGACGCCGAGGCTGGTGGCGGACACGGGTCTCCCCTCTTTTTACCCTTATAATAAATTGCTTATACTTGAACAGCTTGACCCTGGAAAAGTCTCTCACCGTGAGCGAGCGTTTTTTCACTCCAATACTAATCAACATAAGGCATGCTAAATGGTCAAATGGCAATGTCTTATTCTGGATCATCCTATTGCTTTGTATGTTCTTGAATACAGATTGTGAAAGAGTGCCCAGGGACAAGAACACAGGTACAGATAGCTTTTTCAGGCCCTTTCCATGTAGAAGAAAATGAATGTGACTGCCAAGTTAAAACATTTTAGATACGGCCTGATATTCAGAGCTGCTGTAGCACTGTGACATTGACTAGGAAGAAAATTGTGATTACTCAGCAGCTTTAAAAGTCAGACCTCTCAACCAATGAGCATATAGCCTAGTGAATTAAGTAGTGCCAAGGAGCATGCCTGGGTTGCTGGAAGTTGATTGTCTCTGCTGATGGATGGCTGGAATGGTCCTGAGCAGAGTTTGGTCTGGGAAAATTAACACTCTCCCAGATAATTCAGGAATTACCCCAGGTACAGCTTAGAATATAGTAGAGGGACACTCTTTGATAATACATCTTTCAGTTTTCTAGTGTTTTTAATATAGATGGGTGTTGTTCCATGCTGGATGCCCACAGTGACGAAGACCAGTCTCAAATTCATTTAATTACTGATACAGCCCAGTCCTGGAAGCAGTGGTAAAGCTGTCTCAAAATCACTTTTATGCCAGGGAATTGACTTCCTTTCAGTAGAGGAACCCAATGTTTTGCTGCCTGCAAACGTGGCTTATTATAACCCATATCCTTGAGTGTTGGTCCCTTGTTACAGGAAAATTGTGAATAGACTGAGGGGAGCACCCAGGAGTACTTGTCTAGGCAGCAGAAAGATCAAGAGGTTCTTACTGCTCTTCCTGCCTCTCTGGAGTAGACTGGCACAAACTGCTGCCTTATATTGCCTGACTGGCCATGAAACCTGAGCAGAAATACAGTGCAGAGGTGGTTAGCAAATCATTCCTTGTGCTTTTCATGATGCATTCTCTTGTGCTGTTGGTAATTTCAGTATTGTTTTTGCTTGCTTTTAGTCATCTATTCCTTTTATCCTTACAGATGTAAAACTGTCTCTCCTTTTAGGTTTTCAGACTGCCTGAAACAGAGGGCCCTCTCTCTGGGTCATCTGTGGACACTTGGACAGAGCAATAATGGTGGAAGAATAGCAGTGATATCGGTTATTGGAGTCAAATAAATCCCATCAAATATACAAGGGTCCTTACCATTTTTCATGAACTTGATGGATGTGTTAAGACGAGCAACATTGATATTCAATTGTCCAACAAATCTGCGGTATCTTCCACAGTCACAGACCGTGCCTGATGCAATACAAAGGATAGAGAATTTATCTATTTAGAAGCATCTGTGTGTGCGTGTGTTTGTGTGTGTGCGTGCATGGAGAGTCACCTGTAGCCCACTTCCAAAGCTCCGCTCTCACCTTACCCCACTGGCTATACTTCTGTTGATCAAATGTTTAATGTTTTGATTCTGTACAGTCTCTACACTCCCTTGCTAACTTGCTTAAGCAAGTTAATACCAACACAAATAATCAATAGCTTTCAAGCGCTGAAGTAGCTAATCCTTTTTTTTTTTTTTTTTTACTGACGTTAGGCTTGGTAGAGGTTTTGTTTGTTCTTCTGTTTTTCTCAGAAAGAAAATAAGTTACTGATGGCTTTCCATTAAGAACATTTAATATGAAATCTCTTGAAAATATAGTATAAAACAAGTATAAGTTCAAGGTGGGTAAGCATTCAGGTTTTCTTAGGACTGTGAAGAACTTTCTTGTTCATCAGAGTCAAATTCTCCTCCTGTAAGCAAATGCATTGCATTAATTTGACAAAAGATTATGTTTTATCTAAAATCACTTACTTTTTCGTCCCCATGCTCCTATTAGGAAACTGTTAAATAACTTAATTCCTTTGATGTTAAGAAGCTTTTTTCTAGTATCCAGTTTAAATGCATACTGCTGGCCTGTGTGTTAATTTTTGTGGTAACAAACATTGCCCATGAATTAGGGTGCCTTCATATTTTGTGTATGCTGATGTATTCATAGGAATCAGTCATGTCCCTACGCTATCCTTTATTTTGTTCAACAAAACATTTTCAATCTCTTCTTTATATTTAATCTATTCTTGTGTTTTTCCTTGGACCTCAAAATTTCATGGAATTCCATACAAACCAACTCTAAAATTAAAGATCCAGCAGACTTCACCATTCTGCACAGAAGGATGCATAGCATACCTGCTTTTCCTTTTTTTCCTGAAACCCCTGGTAAGCCTTTGGCTCCTTTGTCACCTGAAGAAAGAGGAAAATATATTCTTAGATCTCACACTGCATATGTCAAGGAAGCATATTCAAAAAAACCATTTAATAATATATTAACAGTGTGCTTTTAATAGGAAGCTGTGATGGACTGTACTGGAAGATGTGCCAAGTCAAACAAACCATGATTAATTCTGGTGCATGGAAATGAGAACCCTTTAATAGCTAACTCACTGATAACACAGGCATCTTTTGTGCTGCTAGTTCCTGGTACCACTTATTTTAAATATAAACTGCAAAATGGTCCTGAGAGGCTAAATGCACTCAAGAAATCCTGAAAAGGTGAGATCTGGGTTTTCTCAGGGCCTGCAAGACAGGGCCCTTCCCCAGGCTCAGCAGTTCCACGGTGAGATGAGGCAGAAGATGTGCTCTAAGCCACTGAATTCATGCGTGCCAGAGAATGCATGTGTGGGCAGCAGTTGGCACCTGCATGGAGGGAGGTCATTAAGGAGCAGCACTTCAGCTTATGGAAACGTGATTTATTTGCATGCAACTGCTTTCCCCCCCTTTCATAAATTATAAAAATTATAGAAATACTTCTCCAAATGTTATATAACTGGACTTGGCCAGCTCTTTAAAAAATCTCAGTTGTAATTTGGGTCAGGAACAGCTGGACTTTATCTGAAGTTCATGTCAGCTCTTTTGTGAATAAAACCTTCAGAGGTAAAAAATAATACTATTTGCTCTGTTTTATTGATGGCCATGTTTTTATGTACTTTTTTACTTTACATGGTTGTGGTTTTTCAAAGAATTTAGATGTTGGCTGTCATTTTAATTAGCAGGGCTTGACACTGCATACTTGCAAGCTGGAATTTCAGGGTTGCTTCTTTAAGAACTCGAATGTTTAATCATAGATTTAAACAGCGACTTAGTGACCTTTGCTTCTGCAAATAAAGAAAATGAGAAAAAACTGTAAGGGGACAATGAATTGTGCATTCAGACTAAAAGAGACTTTGATTTAAAGGCTCAGAGTGTTGCTTTACTTTCAGATAAAGAAAAGCAACTTGTGAGATTCTTCGTTCTTGTCTCCTTTGGGGATTGAAGACATCTTAAGAGATAACCCTCTGAGTTTTCAGTTTTCTAGGTACTTCTGAAAATTAATCCCTCAGGTCAAAATCTTTTCTTCTTGTCTGATACTAAGGCTGGCTAGAGGCCATGAAAGGATTATTAAAAACAGTGCTTTGAGAATCTCTCCAGAGAGACTGTTCCACCCACTCAACAGTATAGCCAAGGTGATGTGGTACCCAGAGTTCTCTCGGCAGTGGTGGTGTCCCTGATCAGCTTTCAAGGCAGGTCTCCTTGTGGCAGAAGTAATATTCCTTTCTAAGTAGCTCTTTAGGAATCTCACAAAGGAATGCCTGAGTTTCTTCTCAAGATAAATAGAGCACAATTTCATGAAATTATTGTCCAGGCAGATTTGGAGTCTACTTTGATTTGCAAGTAGTTGCCATCCCTGCTTATGTGAGCACCTTCTTAACTCCTGAATTCGTTCCTTACCAAGACAGGGATGTCCTATGCATTGCTTGCTCACATGACCCACAGCAGTGCAGGTGACAAGGTGTGGCATCCCCAGCAGCAGCAGGACATTGACATAGGCCTTCAGCATCCAAATCAAAGGCACAAATTTGTCTCTTGGACTGTTCAGAGGATTTACTTTACAGGAACTGGATTTCTCCCTTCCTCTTCTACCACAGAATCATAGAATAATTTGAGGTGGAAGTGACCTTTAAAGTTCATCTAGCTCAACCCCTATGCAATGAGCAGGAACACCTTTGACTAGATCCATCAAAGAGGATTGATGTCTTAACTCAAAAAAGAAATTATTTTAACCAAATTAGTTGGATATATTGCATGTGGAAAATAAAACTAAGGTATTTCAGTTAGTTCTCATCACCAATCTTTATGCATAACTTTATCTGGAGAGCACTGGTCATGCCATTTTCTAATATTGCTCTGTATTTGGAGATCTCTCAAACTACATATTTACCTTGAGGGAAAAAACCCCAAGAAAATCCCCAGACCAGAGCTTACCCTTTTCACCAATTGGACCAATTTTCCCAAGCATTCCCTGGTCACCAACATCTCCCACTGGTCCTTTGTTTCCTAAGAGAAGAAATGAAGAGGAAATGAGTATGGACGGTTGCTGACATTTCATTCCTGAGGCACAGTCTAGGTCTCTACTGCTGCTGTTTTTCCTGAGTGTGGCCAGTCTGCATGTGTAGCAAAGTGAAGTGAGTGCAGCCCTGGTGATATTTGGAAGAGTATGGCCAGATCTCTGCTCCTGTAGGGTATGACAGTAGGACATTGCAAAAAACCTCAATAGAATTGCCTGTTCAAACATCATATTGTCTTAGAGAAAAGAGAAACTAATATTTCTAGTGATTTACTTTGCAGGCTAGTAACCAAACCAGGCTGACAGGCAAAACACTTTCCTAAGTCTTTGTAGCTTTGCTGGGAGTCCTTCTCAAAGCATGACTGCAAGTAGGGAGCTACTAATTTTGTTGTATGTGTTTTCCCTGTTTTCAGAGCACCAAAATAACAGGTGTCCTTCTAAAATGTTTAATAAATAGTGTAAGTTCTGAAATAGCTGTCTAATGACAACAGGCCAATCTAGGCAATCTCAGTTTGCAAAAGGAATTTAACATCAATAAGATGCTTTGTAAATGGTTGATTCCCTGAATTGCTTGTATCTTACCTGATATTCATTTTAAGGTAAGAAGCAAAATCATAAGAATGCATTTAAAAATGGGAAAAGTTTTTAATCATAACAATAAAAATCGTCATTTTAAAGTTTCTATAAAAACAGAAACTTTCCTGTTTAGTCTCAAGACACAGTCAAGGAAGAAAGACCTTGGATATACATTGTCATTAAACACTAAATATAAATTAAGCTTTCAAATTTAGAGTATGCAAACAAGGCTGACATGGTCACATCTGGTGCCTCCAAATGATCTGCCCAGGTGACACTGTGGATATGGGACATATTTAATTGAGCCAAGTTGTGAAACATCTGCGACTCCGTGTTCTCATCTTGGATTCTGTTTGATCAGAGGAACTTTTTCTGTGTGTGTGTGTGTGTATGGCTTTGTTTGCTTTTCTGCAGAATACAGACCACTGAAACCAAATTTTATTGAGCACCCTGATGTATTGCTAGGCAATAATGCTCGAAATTCAATTTCAATTAAAAGCTAATTTTAGTAAGAGTGATCTTTCTGATTATGTATAAGATCTAGGTTTTCTGAATAACACTCATGACAGTGACATATATTTGTCTTAACTGTCAGTAGGAATAGAACCAACATAAGTATTTTTATGTTCACCAATTAATGTTTGACAGGATTGTAAAATCCACTGGTGAAACAGGAATGAATAGCATTAAACACCAATCATATACATCAGTACAATTGTGTATAATGATATTCATATACTAGCAGTAGCCAACAAACCATCATAAATACCTTTTGGTCCTTTTGGTCCAACCTTTCCTTGTTTGCCTACTTCTCCTCTGTCTCCCTTTTCACCTTCATCCCCTTCCAAAAGAACAGAAAATAAAACATCATGGTACATTCCTCTCAGTGCAGTAAGTACAACTATACAAACTCAGAAAGAAAAGTTCATATTTTGTTGGGGTTTTTTTTCCCTACTGATTTCTTTTTATTTCACATTGAAGGCACAGTAGCCATGGGATAAATTTCCAGAAAAGAGATGAGGAATGTGACCATCATTAGGAAAAGCTAAATACTTTCCCTTTCAGAGAGTCTGTTACAACATGAGGATTATACAACAGTAATTTCTACTCCTACACTAAGTATTATTAGCTATAAAGCAGATAAATAAGAGAATCTCTCAGTATTGGGAAACTTAAGCACTCAGGGACAGACTGCCAAGGGAGGCAACAGGTGTTTATTAATTGTTCCTAGTGATTCCATTCCTAGTGACTCTGTGTTCAGGGTATGCAGATGCTTTCAGAATGAGAGGAATGTAAATATGTTGAAATAGATCTTGACATAGACCTTGGCACTCAGTATGACACAATTCTTGCCTACGTTTTTTGACAGATGGCATTTGTATGTTGATACAAGAAACTTGTTTTGCAATTACTCCAATGCTTTATTTTGAAAGGTCATACACGGAGTATCTCTAAGAGGCAAGATCATTGTATTTATTATGGTAGTGCAGAGATTTCTCTAAAGGATATCGAGCCTATTACACAGGTTCCTGTATAGCCCTGTATAAGCATTTTCAGCGTTGGAAGGGACAGTTTCTCACTGTACAGCCTATGGTCTAAAGGTGCAAGGCAGTAATTAGAAAGAAATGTTATTTCCTTTCACAAGTAGCATACTATATTGCTTTGCATTGTGCAGGGAATTGGAGGCACAACGAAAGATGATTTTCTCCTCTTCTTAGTTTGGAGCCAAATCCTATGAAGAAGACTTTTTTTTCTCCCCACAGCAGAGGTCGGGAGGAGACACACAACTCGTCTACACCAAAGGGCCGTCACTGAACACAGGCAGCCTTCCAGAGCCTCTCCTCTTGTTCCCTGCCTGTGTTGGCAATGAGCCTTGCCATGCAGTGGGAAGCAGTGCCATAGACTCTTGGCTCAGCTAGGATCTCATATGGTAGTGGCAGCCAGTTGTGTCTGTGCCTGCTGCCCAGAAGGGGAGAAGGCTGTTGTTCAGTACGTGGAGAGCCGAGGGAGGTGTGTCTGGATGTCAGCCAGAGAGGTGAGGACAGAACAGCAGTATGTGGCAAGACCAATAACCTGTCTCACCAAGGGTGGTGGCTCCAGCCCCAGCAGAAAGTGTTCAGGGAACTGAGGTGTACTGAGGGTGACTATGACCCAGGCAGCCACTTTCAGCCTCTTACAGCAATGGTTTTAGTATTTACCTGAGCCAAGCACTGCATCCCTTCCCCTCATGAACAGCCACTAGTGATTCTTCCCTCCACCAATTAGCCTTGTGCCTTTTAAACCCATTTATATCTTCGGCCCTTATAATAAATATCCTGTATCATAGCTCAATGATTTTTTTAATGTGCTGTGGAGAAAGTACCTTCCCATGCTTTAAGACTGATCATTACATTGGTCTCATTTTTTTCTGAAAAATACTGCCCACTCATTCCTGATTTACCTTCTGTAGTCAAAGGTAGCATGTCATGGGCTGTTATGTGGAGTGATAGCAGATGAGGAGTGCTGCACATTAATAGCAGCATATAAAATGTAGTTTTAGCCCTGTGGCACCTTTCCATCCCAGTTACATGCACTGAGCTGAGTCTGTCCCTTTATGCTGAAAAAACCCTTCCATGCTGGGACTCTTTTGTGAAGAACAGACTCACCCTGTTGGTCAGGATGCCCTTCAGGGTAAGGTCAGTGGCCCAAGCTGAGGAAGATAAAGGGCTGAACTTCACATTGAAGGCAGGAAGAAGTTGGTAAAGGGATGGACAAGGAGGAAATGAAGTGGTGTGTGCTGACTCAGTCAAGCTCTTTGTTTTTAACACTAACTTCCACATGTGAAGTAGGAAGAGAAAAAACTAAAGGTAGTCAGCAATAGAAATTTTAAACATCTCTATTTTCACTAGGTCCTGAAAATACTGTAAAAGTTAGTGTATATTTCTAAAAGCCAAACTCCCTAAATATTCAGCTGAAGCTATGGGTCTGAGCCAGGAGCTGATGAAAGGATGCCTGCTTGTTCCGGTCCTGCAGAGAAGGACTTGGGGGTGCTGGTGGATGGGAGGCTGGACACGAGCTGGCAACGTGCACTCACAGGCCAGAAAGTGAAACCTGTCCTGGGCTGCAGAGACTCCTGGACCTGAGAATGGGCAGCAGGTTGAGGAGGTGATTCTACCCCTTCACTCTGCTCTGGTGAGACCCCATCTGCAGTGCTGCAACAACCTCTGGGGTCCCCAGCACAGAAAGGCCAGGGACCTGTTGGAGCAAGTCCAGAGGAGGCCACCAAGATGATTAGCAGGATGGACCTGCTAATCATAGGGGAGAATAGCACCTCCCCTATGAGGAAAAGCTGAGAGATTTGGTTGTGTTCAGCCTGGAAAAAAGAGGGCTTTGAGGTGACCTAATTGCAGCCTTCCAGTACCTGAAAGGAGCCCACAAGGAAAATGGAGATAGACTTTGAACAAGGACATGTAGTGACAGAATGAGGGGGAATGAGTTCAAACTGAAGGAGATTTAGATTAGATATGAGAAAGAAGTTCTCTGCTGTGAGGGTGATGAGCCCAGAGAAGTTGTGGATGCCGCATCCCTGGAAATGTTTAAGGCCAGGCTGGATGGAGCACTGAGCAACCAGATCTAGTGGAAAGGTGTCTCTGTTCATGGCAGGGGGATTTGAACTAGATGATCTTTAAGGTTCCTTCCAACCCAAACCATTCTATGATTTTACAATTCTACTGACTATCAAACAGCAGAGCTAGAGAATGTATGGTCGACTTTCACTGTTGACCTCAATACTAAGAAGAGGAAATAGTTCTTTCTAAATCCATGTGTGAACCTCTGTGAAAAGTGCAAAACTACTTTTCTGAAAAGTAGTGAAAAAAACCTACTTTTCAGTAGTTCAGAAATTCAGAAAATATCCCAGAGGCTGATGAAGGGCTTGTGAAATGACATTTTGGGAGGTAGTTAAGAGCTGACTTCATCATTGTCAGTAAACCCATACAGGGGGAAAAATGTGACAATAGAAAGGAAGTAGGGAATGATTCAAAGACTGGAAAAGCTGGATGAATCTTGACTAGATGCAACATGGCGATATTTCACAAATGGACTGTTCCCTGACAAGGAAGGGAGGTGGAGGAGGCTCTTCATATCCAGCCTTTCCCTCTGCAATGAATTCCTTTGTGCAAAATATGCTGTATTTCTGGGTCTCGTATAGAAGCTGCTGAGGGAGGATCCTTGGCCTGTGGAGATCAAACCAAATTCCTGCCAAACCAGGGCTTGTCATCCTGGCAGTCCTCCTCACCTCTCTCAGACCAGCCAGTTACATTCTCTGCAGGCTGCTCTGTAGAGTTAAAGGCTCTGGAGAGACTGTTATTTGTTGCCTAAGGAAGATCCTTCCTTCCTTCCTTCCTTCCCTCCTTCCTTCCTTCCTGCCTGCCTGCCTGCCTGCCTGCCTGCCTGCCTGCCTGCCTTCCTGCCTTTCTCATTTGTGAAACAGTTAATCCTAAAAATAGAACCCAGGAAAGAAAGTCAATATACAAGTGGAGAAGCTGTGATTACTTTCTAAAGATGTTTTATTCCTGTCTCAGTTTCAACAATTTGAGCCACTGAAAGTTCCAGTGACTTTTCCTGAGGGACTTTGGAACAAGATTTTCACACCTGGGGCTGCTGGAGTTGAAGCTACATTGTCTTCTATGGACCATCAGCCTGAGAGCTGACAGGTGAAAGGAGTGAAAGTTGTGGCAAAGTTTGTTCCGGAGATTTCCAGAGATCGGGGAGTACTTCAACTTTTATTAACACTTTATGTGATCCAAATTTTTGCTTAAGACCTCTAAAAGCCTAAGAGAGAGGGAAATAAATTCCATCACTTGTTTCATCTTGGTTTAAAGAAGTCTGCCACACTCTGTCTTACTTTTCATATCCTGGAAAATGGGAAGAACAATAATTTGTCTGTCTGTAAGAGAAGATAATCCTGCTTTTCTCCCCATGTGTCATCTGAGAATAGGTAGGCCATTACAAAACAAGGGTAGTCACAAACTGTATTAGTTAGCGATACCATTTTATTGCTAATTTAGGACTAGATTAAGCCAAGTGCCTGCTGACGTGGTACATGCTGTGTCCTCCTTTAGCGGCTGTGCATCTCAAATTTTGGCACGAAATGTAAACTCTTGGGTTGTGCTTCCCTCTTGTGGTCTTGCTATGATTTGCAACCAGGTAGGAGAAGGTGACGGCTGACTGTTTTGGGCAAGGGTTGAGTTGGCTTTATTTCTTGTTTACCTTAGGTATCCCTCCCTTTCCTCTGAGACTTCATGTAGACAAGCCATCCCACTGCATTAGCCACTTTTTTTTTTTTTTTCTAATCTTCCGGAAAAAAAAAATTAAATCTGTCCTGCTAGTACTCTAGACTGGGTTTCTCAGTTCTGTAGTATTGTGCTTTGTGCAACATGAATTTTCTGACCTCTTATGCTTGTTATCTATACCTAGAGGGTAACCTCTCCTCTGTGCTGCTTTGCATTTGGGGTAGTGTCAGGTTAAATTTTAACCTAATTAGCAGATTGTCACTTTAAAACTGTAGTTACCAGGATGTCAGATAATGTACTGCACTAGCATTTGTAGTATGGGTGAAGAAGCACTTGGAGTCATTAACTGAAGTAAGCCTATTTCTCAGCCTTGTTAGTATTTCCTCAAGTTTCTTCTGTGTCACAGATATGAAATACAAGAAACACCTGAAGCACTAAATTACTAGACTCTTCCAGCTTGGGACTGTGCAAGGCAGAAGAACAGAAACTGTAAGTAAGTAAATGTTGCAGTTATTAGAAAATTTTAATTGTAATTGAAAGGTTTACAGACCTTCTGTAAACAAGTTCA